CCATGACAGTACTCTACATGTCTCTAAGTGAAAGCTGTTTGTATTCCTTGAATTGCTTAATTAAAGACTCTGTATGAAAGGACTAGAATATTTATAGTGTAGGAGAGCAAATGCTTAGAAATACATTTTATGTTTTCTTTGAAATTTTTATTTCAGCTTGTTTGGGACAACTCCTACAAAGTTGGCTGTGCTGTTACTCCATGTTCAAAAATTGGAGATATTAAGCATGCAGCACTTTTCATATGCAATTATGCACCAGGGTGAGTAATTTTCAAGTAATAAAAAAAGTAAGAACAAAATGAGGATACTTTAAGTTTTCCTAACTTCTGATTTGACTTTTTTTTTTACTATAAAAGCATTAAATATATGATATTAATAAGAGGCTCTACATTGAAATATTTTCAATTTCACAGTGAAGTAAGTCAAAACTTGGCATATTGACTCTATTTGTAAACTAGCCAATTGCTACTACTTATAGGAATCTTATGTTGACATTTCTTTTATAATAACAAGAGTAGCTACCATAGGATTCAGTTATTTTGAAAAGCAGTTTATTCTATTTTTTATAAGAGTTCAAAAGCTCAGATATCTTAAAATTATGTAGTAAGAATTGTTTCAGGAATGCATCAGTTTTGCAACGTGAAGTGCACATAACTGAACACCCAGTGATTATTTGGGTTAATCTGCATCATACAAGGATTTATTAATATTGGTGATGGAAGAACACTTCAAAAGTGTTTGAATCAAGCTCTCCATGTTAAGCTTGAACTATTTCTATTTACTTGTATCATGTGGCTATTTACCTTATATGTGAGCACCCGCCACTTCTGGGAAGTAACTACCTCTCCAAATAGCCTTCATCTCTAACTAGTTATATTGGAAAGTTCTAAGTCGATATAACACTGTTAGTAACAGTACTATAACTTCCAAATAGGTGAGAAAATCAACACTTTGAATAAAAATTAAAACTTGACTACCTGCTAAGATTGAAGAGGAACCTCTGACAAATAAAACTCATTGGGATTAAGCCAAAAAGTGTTAAAAAATGATTGATTAATGGTTGTTTTCCCCTAGATGGAGAAAATAACAGAAAGCCTCTTTCTATGAAAAGTTGGCCACATTTATAGTCCTGCCAAGGAGGTAAACATGTTAATAGGCGAGCATATAAATAATATTCCAACTAGATAATGAAATGTGCCATAAAAGTAAAGCAAGAAAAGTAAATAATGATTGGCATAGAGGAAAAATAGGGGCATGACAGGAGTAACACTTGAGCTTAAAGCCAGAGGATAAGAGGATCATGAGTGAATATTCCATGTGTAAGTAAGAGCATTGTAAAAAATCTTCATATTAACAAAATGGTTAAGCAGATAAAGGCATTTGCCACCAAGCCTGATGACCTGATTTAACTCTCCAGAACCCACATGGTAAAAAGAGAGAACCAATTCCTCAAGCTTATCTTTTGACCTCCACAGACACACCATGGCACACCCATGTGTATGCACACATATGTCCCCCCCATGCACACACACAAAAATGTAATTTTTTTGGGCCTTTTTGAGACAGGGTCTCCCTGTAGCCCCAGCTGTCCTGGAACTCACTATGTAGACCAGGCTGGCCTTGAACTCACAGAGATCCGTCTGCCTCTACTTCCCAAGTGCTGGGATTAAAGGCCTGTGCCACCACACCGGGCAAAAATGTGATTTTTTTTTAATCTCCAAAGTTGTATGAATTTAGCAAATTTGAGAAATAAATAACTGTGGTTAAGATAGGGCTTGAGGTTAAGGATTAGGTGGCAAGTGGACCAAATAGAATATGGAAGATCATGTTAAAGATTTTGGAATTATTCTAGGTAATGACAAAGACATTAGAAGCTCATAAGCAGCTGACTAACATGATCTCATCTATGCTTTGTGAAGAACAATTGTTTAAAGATTACTTTGAGCATTGCATAGAGCATGGACTATGGAGAGTAAGTGCAGTGAGGCCCTTTCCTTAGCACAGACTGCACACAGTGGCATTGTGGTGTAGGGACTTAACATATGAATTAACTCTACTGTTGCATTTTGTGTTACCACAAATGCAGTGACTGTTAATGGCACTCACTATCACAGATCTGGAGGTCATGAGTTCAGTCACAGTATTACTGGATTTGCTACTTAGAGCTTCAAAGGCCCAAATCAGTGTCAACCAAACTCTCAGTGGTGAACATCTGCTTCCAAACTCATTTAGACTCATAGCAGGATTCAGTTCCACATGGCCATGGGACTCAGGTTTCCATCTCCTTGCTGAATATCAGCCAGGCATTGCTCCATCTGCTAAAAGCTCTACATTCCATGACATACCCCCCAAAGTAAGCAAAGGCATGTTAGAGCCTTCAAATATTAGACACCTCTCTTCCTATAACCAACCAAAGAAAAATTGAGTAGACTGTAATATCACTCAGACAGAGAGGATCAGGAGATACATTTTATTTTTTCACATTCTGGTAGAAAAAATAAAGGTAACAATTATAAATTAATCATAAGAAAGAGATAGCCACATGAAGATCTGTAGTAAATGTCTTAATAGAGACATTTGCTGGTATAAAAGACCTGGGGGAGAAATGAGTTATAGGCTTAAATAAGGTTTATCTTGTAAGAAAGTGAGTATCTCCCAGAGAGTTAATATCAAAGACTAAGTAGTAGATCACTGCAGTATTTCAGCCTTAGGCAAAGGTGCTAAAGAAACGACAAGACAGAGACCAAACATGTTGTCAGGACACCTGAGAGTCAAATGAAGAACATGAGTCAAGAAGGCCAGTCATCCACTATGGGAAATGCTCCTAAGAGAATGAGCAATTGCAGAAGGAGACATGAGAAGCCCACTTGATGAGATGAAGATATTGGTGACCTTCATAAGAATACAGCTACAAGGTACTATGTACCATATGACTACAGTGCAAAGATGAAGCTACCAGGTGTTAGAGTTACCCTTCCTTCCTTCCACTCTCCTGTCCCATGGGCTTCTTTGTGTTGAAATTTCTATCACCTATTTTACTTTGATACAAATATGAGCAAGGCTACCTGTGATGTGGGTTTGCACATATATCCATTAACTAGGTCCAATTTTTATTTAAATATGGTACCCAAATGGGCAATCATAACTATCATCTTTAAGAATGGTAGGCAGAAAATGAATCTGTTACAGCATTATAAATTACTGAGCAATGGAATAAAGAGAACCAAATCATGGATGGAGAAATGGCTTATTAGTTAAGAACATTGGCTGCTATTGCCAAGGACCCAGTTTCAGTTCCACAATCAGCAGTTAACTCTAGTTCCAAGAGATGTGATGTCCTCTTCTGACCCCCACAGGCATTGTACATACAGGTGCACCTACATACATGCAGGCAAAAGACTCAAACACATAAAATAAAAATAAACCAATCAAAAAATTTTTAAATAGAACCAAATTGAAAATTAAAATGTTTAGTAGGCTAAATAGAGGTCCACGAAAAGAGATGTCCAGGTTCTAATCCTAGAACTAGGAGGTGATACATCGCATACAAAGGAGTGTTTATTACCTCATACAATAAAGGTCAAATTTATAGTGTTAAGATGGAGTTATGAATACCTGTTGATGGATGTGGGGACCTAAAGGCCCCACCTTGCATAGGTCCGAAAGGAAGTTACTGGGGGCATGGCCTGGCTTGCTTTGAAAGTCTGAAGAATACTTCCGCACTGCTGAGGAGTGCATGATCAGCGCATGACCATCCTTAAGATACACCCTCAGGGGGGAAGGGGGGAGTTCCAGGTGCCTTTAAAAGCTCTGTAATATCTGTAATAAATGAGTCCCTGCTTGACTAGACTCCCCATTGCGTCTGAGTGTTCCCGGGTAATGGGGGGGGGTGTGGGCTGGCGAATGGCGTGCTTACTCATCTCCAGTCATCACTCCCTGGGGGTCGCTGGCTCGAACCCCAGCAACTGGTGCTCAATGTGGTGCTTGAAGGAAGGTGAAAAGAAGAAAAGAAAGAAGAAAGAAGGAAGGAAGGAAGGAAGGAAATGGATTGGGGCCAATAAGAGGTTTGGGGTAAGCAAGATCCTAAATATGGGTAACGCAACTTTTAAGTTTGAAGACCTGGCAGTTAAAGCGCTGAGAGATATGCTTAAAAACAAGGGATTGGATTTGTCAGATCCCGTAGCTCAAAAGGTTTGAGCAGAGGCGATTCATTGGCTCCCTGACTACTTGGAGCTAATGTTTTTACTGGGGATACGTGGGAATCATGGGAAGGGTTTGAGGAAGAATGCAGAAATGCAACAGAAGTGAAACCAAAAGCAGCCAAAGTAACAAGCGACACCTCCGGTGTGCCCTGGCCAGCTTCAGAGCCTCCCGGGCAGAAGGGCAGGGCAAAGCAGAGCTGACGGGGTCAGCTGCTTAAGCTGCCCACCCCATGCACCTTGAACTAACACGTGAGCGGGTCAGGGGCCTGCAGGAAAGCCAGGCAGGCACCGCCCCCTGGCCGGCAACTGGTGTGAGTCAGGGGCCAGAGTGAAAGCCTGGCAGGACCAGCGCAGCAGCCACTGGGTGCATTTGAAAAACAAAACGAAACAAAACAAAAAAAACAAAGAAACCACCTTTGGCAGTGTGACAGCTGAAAAGGTCCGGTTTGGGGAGGGGCCCCGGAACTTCCATTCCGAGTGTTACAGCTCATCTGCAGCAGCACTAGCCAAACCCCAGGCTGAGGGAGTTCTTAGTAAAAGCCTACAATGTTTTCACTGACTGGGGCAGATGTGGAGAAACCAAAAAAGCAACTCAGTTCAAGGAACTCATGGCCATTGCTTTCTGACAGTGTTCAGACTCCTATGAGTCTTAAAGAGAGAGAAGCCCCTATTTTCTTACAGCATCTTAGGGGGCACCAAGGATTGCCTGGGCTTTTATCCCAAGGCAATTCAGAGGCAGACAAGATGGCTTACAGGTACCGCCTCTGCAACAGTCAGGGGTAAACCCCAGGGGACTCAAGCCCAATTCTGTGTGGCAAACGGATATCGCACACTGTGCTTCTTTTGGAAAGCTTAAGTATATTTTTGTGTCCATCGACACATTCTCACATACCTGTTGGGCTACCACTCATACAGGAGAGAAGTCTGAACATGCTCAGTCTCATTTTCTCCAGTGCTTTGCAACCATCAAAACCTAAAAATTAAATTACAAAAACAAAAAGGGGGAATAAGGCCCCACCAACAGTTGGGTATGGCCTTATTCACTATTATTTTTAATT